CTGCTTGTCGAATAAAATAAAATTAAAATTGTTTCAAAAGAAACTCATCGACACTGTACAATTCAATATCCAATAAAAGGATTTTTAGTCGGGTACAAAACGTTTCATCGTTTCTAACACTTTTCAGGTCTGTGGGTAGATGTTCGTAGAATCGGGGACCTATTACCCGCGGATTTCTAGTTGCAAGTTCGGTACGGTGGGCAACGGATTTTAGTGTTCCCGCGTTTCGCAACACTCGGCCTCCGCCCGTACGTCGCTCATAAGTAGCCAAGTTTTGACGCGCATAAACTAATAAAGCGGAATTACTCCTGCAGCAGTTGCTTATGACGTAATACCAACTGCGAAGTAATTATTGCCTGCCCTATTCGAACTTGTCAACCCGCGTCAGGATTGACAGGCTATCTCTCTTTAATGTCATAATGCACACGCTGCATACATGTGCAGTCACAAACAAAGACAATTTATCACAGATAAGTACTAAAACAAAGACAGTAACAATCACTGACAGACAAATTTGAGATCGTACATTATTTAGGTAATGTGTAATTTGTGACTAGGCGTTCTTGATTAATTGCGGCTTTAATTAAAACCTCGTCAACATTCTGCTTGTAAAAAATGGTTATCTACTAATCATAGTCAGCTGAAACAATATCTTCGTCAAGCTTGGAGGATAGAAAAAATTAAGGAACCATCATGGCATATGACACATCATAGAGTAATTTGTAATTCCCGGCATATTTTTTACGAGGCGGTGACAATTGACGTTGGTGAGTTTTACATGTAGGTCAAAAGCTCTTTGTATTGTCTTCAAAATTAATTATTATAACCGACATTACTATGATAATGGCCCGCCCCTATTTATTCTAAATTCATGACGTGAGGGATAATGTAGTAATTCTTACTACAAAGCGTTTTAAAGAGAATGAGATTCTGAATGAGGCATTTAAAATCAATCTAAAAGGTCAAATAAAATATGTTCAATAAAAACAAACGACGATAGGTATGCCTGTTCAAATTGCTGATTTTTGTCATTGAAAAGGATTGTTTGTAAATCATCTAAATTCCAAAATGTGGACTTAATGTCACTCCTCACTTACAAAATTATTACAGGATCTAACACGCCATAACTGTTTTAATTTTGTAATAACAAAACAATAACAAATAAATTTGTAGCTCAATAACAACCGCGCATAACACGCAAATAACATTCAGCAAGTTAATGAATATGGCTAACAATTTGGAGTAATTTATTATTAAAAGTAAGTTGTTAATGTAGTACATAAAGTACAAACAACACACACACACACATAGATAGATAGATAGATAGACAGATAGATAGATAGATAGATAGAGAGAGAGAGAGAGAGAGAGAGACTCCAATTAAATAAATAAAAATTAATCCGCGCGGCATGTTACCCAAGATGCTGGCAGCGTTCGCTCTTTGTATAGTTATGCTAATAATAATATCTTGGGCAAGGTAGCCCTTGGGTGTTTTGAAACAGTCTATTTTTTTCCCCTACTTAGTTGTTATGTTACGTGCCATTATTCAAAGTGGTAGGTCCGGGTGACACTTTTAATATACAGGTGAGAAACCCCATATCAAGCACCAGCCTCCAAAATGTACTACTGTAATGTGCCTACTAAGATTTGTACTGTTTTGTATTTTGTAGTGAGAAATAAATAAATATTTATTATTATTATTAATTTTAATGTTACAATTACAAGTTCATTTCAAGTCACTTGTACAGAGCTTGCTTTGTTGCAATAAGATGCACCCAATTTAGTTAGAACCCAAGATAACCTCTCTATCCGGTTGATAAACAACATTTTGCATTTAAAGTTTAGAAGACATTGAGAATACGTTTGATTCTTGTTTATTTTTATAAACTCTACAATCACATTAGTTCTAATTTAATGCGGTATTTCGGGATATCTCCGTCGCTTTTTATTCATATGAATTTAAAACGTCATTGTTACGATTTGGAGTCGAAAAGTTTGGTTTCTCAAAGTCACAGATAAAAACAGAATTTGACCTGTTTGACATCTACCAATTTACAACATTGGATACACATTCTTCGGAAAATGTAATGTAAATTCAAACAAACGGTTGTAATTCCCACGTAGTTATAGATTACTATACTACGACACTTATACGACCACAATTCTGCGATAAGAACCAAAACGCTATTGGTGTTGCATTTCAAATTTAGATTTCAAGTAAAACGGAAAGCTTGTATACTTGATTATCGTACGGAATCTGTGTTTATCTATGAATTTCGAAAAGTAACACATTAGATGATGGAAATTCAACATTCATAAACATCGGGAGAGAACCAATCAGCTCAAAGCGTTGTTTGCATGGACGTGGAGATAGCCAAGCGCTCGGGTTTTAACCCTGCGCTTTGTCAACGACGGGTTTAAATCGGGTTAAAATCCATTAATTCCCGAAACCAAGGACAAATACTTAAATATTTGCTGTAAATCGAATTTTATTCTAATTTAATGATATTATTACAACACGATCAATTTACCTTTCTATTGGACTCGATTCGAAAATTGCACTAAAATACCTAAATCGATACAAAAACAGTTAAATCGATTTTCATAAAAGTCGAATCGCAATGTGCGTCCTTAGTGAGAATTCACAGGATTGCCAGGTAGATATTGTAAGGAGTTGCCTCTTTTTCGTCTTAAATAGATTTTTTGCATTGAAATTTGTAATAAATATAGCATTACCAAATTCCATATTCGCCGTTTCCGCCCATGATTTTGGACAGAAATAGGTTTAAGCCCGGTGCATACACGGGCGGGTTAATTTTGTCTTAACCCACTGCCCATCTGTGGTTGTTTGTCTTATTTTATACATTCACGTTTTTGTCCACGAGTCTACAAGACTTAAAAAGCCTTTTAAAATCATATTATTAAACAAACATGGACTTGAAACATTAGAATCAGGCGGGGAAATGGCGCAAATTTCAAGTTTTATTGTAAAACAACCTGTCTTAATGCCTATTTACAAGGCGCGAGCAGCTCACGTGCTAGTGGCAGCTTGCCTTGTCTCTACACACTTAATTTATACATGAATGGGGAGTTTCTCGTTTCATTTCGCGCACACCAACGACCGATTGATTAACGTGCTATAATTACCAGATACGAAGCAAATCGATGCCAAGGGCGCGATTTTCTAATGTGGAGTGACTTATTGAATAAATCTACTCCCCTAGTTAAAAATAAAAACAATACGAAAACTGCCAGTAATGCAGTAACTAGTAGCTTGCAGCATGTGAACTAAGCATCAAGTGGTGAGGGCATTAATGAAGATAATGAAAATAACATGGATAACGGGTATTGATGTGTTATTCCATTTTGTCCGCTATGTCCCAAAGTAATATATTAAAATATGACCTACAGCTCTGTTTGTTCGAAGGACATCCGAGGTATAAACATTTTGCGTAATTGCTTATTATTTTAATTAATTCTAGGGTTTGATTTTTAGGTGTTTATTTGCCAATATTGATATTTGATATAATGTTTCTCGAATAATAAAACAATTGACCTGTTAATTAAGAGGGTTTGCGCATTACATCCGATTCGTATCAGTTCCTGACCAAATTAAAACACGCATGATGTGAATGAAGCTTCATACGTGATATTAGCTTTTGATTCGGTCGTGTATTACTTATTTGAGAACGAGAGTACAGGGTCTGTTCCGCTGCGTTGCGCGTCCCGGAAAATACCGGGAAAAACGAAAGTTCCAAGACTACTTCAAAAGTACGTTTCCATACTTATAGACTAGGCCTTTAAGCAGTTAAAGCTTGATATCTTAATTAAGTTTCATCCATTCATTACAATCATCATTCATTAAACTAAAAATTATTTACTAAACATTGACTTACAATTTATTTGTAAGTCAATGTTACTAAAGTAATATTTTCCTTTTTTATAGTTCTTAAGAAACAAAGGTCGTTTAAAGTTAGAAATATTGATTTTATTACAACCGTCCTTCAATCTCGATCCATTACCTATACTAACCCCGACTCTATAATTTTTATAATTCAGTACTTTTTAATAATAATAATATAAGATCATTGATCCACCTTGTTAGTAACAATCAAAAACTTAGGACTATGTTAGTATATTAGACTTAATAAAAAAATTAAAATAGAAATACTTAAAAATAAATAATAGAAATTAACAATGTATGCGGAAGGTATGCGGAATTAGAATTCATGTCACCACCCCTTCTTGGTGACATGAATTCTGGTCCAATGGCACAATATCGGACACGTTACATCCTCCGATATGGTGTTCAGAAGGCTGTTACCGCTGCCACGCATCCTACTAATTAAGTAACTGTAATATCAAAAGTTTCAATATTCCGAAGACTGGAAACTACGCTGAAAAATTGTCGAAATTCTCGAAATTTTTCAGACGAGAACAAAAACCCTACTGTTAATAAATAAACGTGTTGCAAAGTGTATAGTAGAGGACATACAACGGCCTGCGCGTGCAATACAACAACGCGTTCCGGGTGTTGCTGGGGCTGCCGCGCTATTGTAGCGCCTCGGGGATGTTTGTGGAGTCGCATACAGACGGTTTTGCAGCCATTATGCGCAAGAGGTGTGCCTCGATGCTAAACCGCTTGCGCGGCAGCCCCAACCGCATCCTGAGCGCGTTGTCTGCACGCTGGGACTCGCCGATGTTCGCTCACTGGATGCGACTTCATAGCATACCATGAGTCGCATAGTTTTATTTTGTTTCTTTTTTATTTTGTTTTTTGTATTTTTGTATTGTGTAACTAACCCTTAGAATTAAGCATTTTGTAATTTTAACTAACAATCTATGGACCCAGTTCCGAAATAAATGATTATTATTATTATTATATAGTAATTTCTAATAAAATGCAAAATTATCTCGCCGACAGACAATTGGCGTCGTTGTGGTTACCACATTATTGTGTCGTGAATCTATTATTAACACTAAACCATTATTTGTTACAGATCGTGTGAACGCGTCCGCAAGCCCCGACTCGTTTGCGGCTTCACGTAAACCGACCCGGACCGGTGGTGTTGCAAATCCACACGAAATGGTGCAATACTGATTCCTCAAACATGTACGTAATGTGTATATTGGATCGCCGAATGTTGCGATGTGATTACAATTGTATTAGTTAAAGAGTCCCACGCCGGGCGCCAAGTTTGTTGCTGCTTGTTGCACTGTCTACGTCGAACTGGTGAAGGCTGTACTAGGGTTGTAGTGCGGGGTATGCGAGGCGGGGTTGTGCAGTGACGGCGCCCGGGCGGCTGCCATGGGCGCGGCGCGCCATGCCTCCGCGCACGCGCCCGCTGCGGCTGCTTCTCGCGGCGCTGGCGCTGGCCTCGTGCGCCGCGGCCCCCGCACCAGAGGCGCGCGCGCAGCGCTCTGCGAACCTCAGCCACATAACTGGCACGTCGCGCACCATACAAATGTTCCTCAAGAATCGTTATCTTCAACTCATGCCCGATGGCACTGTCAACGGCACGACAGACGGCAACAGCGTTTACAGTAAGTACTACATCTTTTAATTACATATATTATTATTTAACTTTTTGCTATCTGTCTGGAAAATATTTTTTTTTCCCCGAAATTTATCTCCGACCATAAGTGAGATGTCCGAGATAATAACAAACATTAGCAAATTGTTCCGATAGTAATTACAGACCGAGAGCTTTTTTACCTTCATAATTAATAGTTGCAAGCCTAGGTGTCAGGCATCGGTTACGTGATACGTTTTTTCTTTAACAATTCCGTAGGTTCTTTTTTTTAATTAAGTTATATAACAAAGCTTGGTAAGTTATAATTATTATTAATTATTGTTCTACTGTATAAACTCCAGGGATAGTGGTCCATGAGGTCGCAGTTGTCAAAATAGCTCCTTATTTTGACAGACAGCTTAAATAGAGACTGTGCAATAGCGAAAGACGCAATTACAGCCGTAGCGACATCAATTGCTTTGCGAAGTTGATATTTACTTAAAAAGTTGCAGGAGAAACTCCCGTTAATAAGGTAGGTACTCATATATGCACATAAATTTTGCAATTGCCGAGGCGAATAAACTAGATTTGTCATTTTGCTTGCATTTGTCTTATCTTACTGCCATTTCGTTAATTTCGTGAATATATAATAGGAAACAGCATAGTAGCTTCCACACTATCGCGTTTCAATTGATCACATGTTTTACCTAAGGGAACAATAATAATCAGAATCTATTCAGTCTAATTGCTAAATAAGATATAAACCTCTGTCTGGTGACTTAAATTGCAAAGATCTATTACCACTGCGCTCGTGACACTGAGACAGTAAGATTAAGATTAAGATATTTATTTATTCACTCTCACATAAGGAAGATTGTACATTATAATTATATGTTAAACAAGACTTAATAATGACTAAAGTTATCTACCTTAAGACCTTAAGCGAGAGTCTGGAGTTCGTACAAGGTAACTAGACCTGTGTTACAAATCTCCAGGCTCCCACCCCGTTACAATGTATTTATTTCGTTTTCAAAAAGGTATGTATATAATCTAAAAAGAAAGATATGAAGATTGTTCGTGTGTGTGTGTGTGTGTGTGTGTGTGTGTGTGTGTCAGTGTGTGTGTGAGTGTGTGTGTATGTAAGCGTGTGTGCGAGTTCTGAATAATATATATTATAATATTTAAAATAATTACATTTATTTAGTGACTTTTATTAAATTTTCACTAGTGTCATAGTCCATTGTTACAAGCCATTTCATCAATGTAACTTTGCAATCATGCCTGCACAGATTATAAATGTAGATTTTGTAATTGCTGTAGTTGTACAAGTGACATAAGGTAACAAGTCTCATGTGCCTGCCATTTCACCAGCACCATTACCCGGACACAGTAATGCTTACATTACTGCTTGGCGGCAGAAATAGGTAAGATGGCAGTACTACCCTGGACAAATTCTTTCACAAGCAGCTCTCTAGCTACTAAAAAAAATATTGAATAAACTTGACTGTTTATAGAAGCTATTATTATGATTATTACAATTACAATTAACAAGTATTTATTTCCTTAATTTATGGGAAATAAATAACTTTCTGACGATGGTTTTTGCCTATCATGAGAAAGCTTGTTTCATAATTGATAAGTCTGTACCAAGTACCTATGAGTTTTTTAAACTCTTTAGGTAAAAAAACATAACTAGATCAAAGTACTACTTAACCAAAGATGTATACAAAATGGCGACTCTGCTTTTTTTTGTATAATCAAGTGACAAGCGTGATGCTTACAGCTAGGCCTGTCTATAACAGTTGCAGTGCCACTCAGAGATTTAAATCGCAAAGATCTGAGATGCACTGCCACTGCGTAGGTCACCCTGAGACATAAGTTGACAAGTCCCATATGCCTGTAATTTCACGAAGCTTGACTAAGACAAAACGATTTGAAATCACCCAACATTAAATATAAGTCTGTCTCACGTTTTTAGTATTTAATTAGGGAGTGTTTTGCAGCGTTGTACTTGTTTTTTTATATACCGTTTCTTGTTACAGCCTTTTCCTTTTGACTTAACTATGAATAAATGTTGGTGGACCGAAGCATCCTATTTTATTGCCGTGATGCTGGTCACGGCACATTAGCGGTTTACAATCTTTTCATAACTATAGGAAAACGACTGTGACACTCTGCTTAGAACGTCTAACAGGTTGATGAATGATTAAATACAGCGGTTAACTGTTTTTAACGACAGAAGACATTAGCGTCTAATCGAGATTAGCATTTCGACGCCTCCTACGTAAAGTATCGTATGTCGACATTGCCAAGTTTACAGGGGAGCGTTTTAAAGTTCTCAATTCACGGAAATGAGCACAATACTTGACTTTGGTATTTCTCAGTTTTATTCAGCAATCTCGTTACTCACATAGAGTATTATAAAATCCTAGATATCGATTAGATGATCTATGGCCTTTCATTCAGAACTTTTTATTCATTCGGAAATTCAGAACTTCAAAACGCTCCCCTGTAAACTTGGCAATTTGGACATACGATACTTTACGTAGGAGGGGTCGATTTGTTTTATTGAAGGCAGTAGCAGTCTTGATGTGCTTAAATTTACAGAAAGGGCTTAATCGCGACTGGTTACCCTGTGACCAAAACAGAATAATTATCTTTTAGCCACTAAAGAAACCATAAAGGTCCTTACTACCGCGCCTTTATGTATAGACTAACTGGTGACCACGATTACGTCTGCGTACGTCTACGTTACGTCTGAGAAATTATTGGTTCTCCATACATACATTTTCATCCCCTATTTCAACCTCCTTAAGATTTTGTGACAAAAAGTAGCCTGTGTCATTCTTCTATATCCCATTTATCTATAGACCGATATTCTTCAATGTTAATTCAGTGGTTTATGTGTGATCATAACAAAGTTAATTTCGCATTTATAATATAGTTCACTTAGAAGACCAAATGTCGTCATTGTAAATTATACGCGCTGAATTTATTTAGAGAGTATTAAGATTCATTTTGTGACAGAAAGTATTCTGTGTCCTTCTTCTATATCCCATTTATCTATAGACCAATTTTCATCAATGTTAGGTCAGCGGTTTAAGTGTGAAATGTAACAAAGTTACTTTCACATTTACGAGTATAATATAGTTCACTTAGAAGACCAAATGTCGTCATTGTAAATTATACGCGTTGAATTTATTTTAAGAGTATGAAGATTTATTTTGTGACAAAAAGTGTTCTATGTGCCATCTGTCTATAGACAAATTTTCATCAATGTTAGGTCAGCGGTTTGTGTGTGAAATGTAACAAAGTTACTTTCACATTTACGAGTGTAATATAGTTCACTTAGAAGACCAAATGTCGTCATTGCAAATTATACGCGCTGAATTTATTTAGAGAGTATTAAGATTTATTTTCTGACAAAAAGTGTTCTATGTGCCATCTGTCTATAGACCAATTTTCATCAATGTTAGGACAGCGGCTTATGTGTGAAATGTAACAAAGTTGCTTTCGCATTTATAATATGGTTCACTTCGAAGACCAAATGTCGTCACTTTAAATTAAGCGCTCTGAATTTATTTTAAGAATATTAGGATTTATTTTGTGACAAAAAGTAGCCTATATCCTTCTTCTATATCACATCTCTCTAAAGACCAAAATTCATCAATGTCAGGTCTGCGGTTTATGTGTAAAACGTAACAAAGTTACTTTTGCATTTATAATATAGTTCACTTCGAAGACCAAATGTCGTCATTGTAAATTATGCACGCTGAATTTATTGTAAGAGTATTAATATTTATTTTTGTGACAAAAAGTAGCCTGTGTCCTTCTTTTATATCCCATTTATCTATAGACCGATATTCTTCAATGTTAATTCAGTGGTTTATGTGTGAAACGTAACAAAGTTACTTTCGCATTTATAATATGGTTCACTTCGAAGACCAAATGTCGTCATTGTAAATTATACGCGTTGAATTTATTTTAAGAATATTAAGATTTATTTTGTGACAAAAAGTGTTCTATGTGCCATCTGTCTATAGACGAATTTTCATCAATGTTAGATCAGCGGTTCATGTGTGAAATGTAACAAAGTTACTTTCGCATTTATAATATGGTTCACTTCGAAGACCAAATGTCGTCATTGTAAATTATGCGCTCTGAATTTATTTTAAGACTATTGGTAGTCTGTGAAAAAACGAAATAACCATCCCAACATAATCAGTGGGCGAGCCCCATCAAAATTATCATTCGCAAAAAGTGGCCGACTTCAAAGGAGATAAGCATAAAATATCTGTCTTTGGCCGTGGAACCGAAATAAGGAGGTATAAAAACCGAGATTTGATTGCGTGAGCACTGCACTGGTTCTGATCCCGCGTCATAATTAAACATTTTGGGGATCGTGCTTGATGCTCTTTTGTTTTTGCCGGCCTAATTGCAAATTATTATTTAATTTATTTTATTGCCGGTGTATATAATTTGCTAAAAACTAATTGAGTATGTTGGGAAAATCTTTTAAATGATAGCGTTTATGCATTACCTTTTTATCTCCTGCAGAAAGGTGCGATTATATCGACTTTTGTAAACCAATTTCGATGATTCTTTTTTAGTCGGAAAGGGGGTACCACAGTAATGGTCCCTTTCATATATAAAGAAAATATTCGTCCTCTAAGAATGGGAAATTAGAAGATGAACCCGGTTAATTGAATTTCACCCACTTTCTGTTAACGATTTCAATAAAAACATGACACATGGACGTAATTCCAATGATTATCATTTATTATGGTGACTTAGATCTGATGATGGTAGATGGATGAGAGGAATTCTTCAGCAGTATACAGCAGCTATGTAGTGTTTGGGATCACATGATTCGTTATGACGAGCTCTGCCATATGCGTTTCGGCAAATGGAAAAAATACTTTCGACCCGGCTGGATTCAAACCAACGTCTTCCAACAACCGGTGTCAGCACAACAATTACAAAGTAATTAATATATTTTTGCTTAATTTTAAAATGTGTCAGAAATTACTT